ATAAGAACCTAATAACTCACTGATTAATTTTGTTTATCTAAAGCTTATATCAGGCGTATTTATTTCATATCATCATGATTTGTCTCGTCTCAGTGCGAGAGCCATAAAACATGAACTCCGTCTTAATCGAGATAAAATAAATTATCTTGTACGGTTTGCGCATTACAAACTGCCTTTCTGTTCTACCGCTAGTCTCTTCTCCGACTTTCATATATGTCAGAGGTTGTATTTCAGCCTCATTTCTAAAAGTCGGTGTACTTACGTGAAACTTGTTCTGCTTGTTGAACAGCTGACATGACATTCCGCGACATTGGGTGAATATATTAACTGCATCCTTCTTCTGTCCCGGCAGATCCACGCAGAGAAAGTAGGTAGCAACTATAAATGGAGGCCGGGGTGCTCATTGGACCCATCAGCAGGTTAGCAAAATGTTAATGTGCCGGAATTGTCCTCTGATAGCACCTGATTCGGATGTTCTACTGCACACCGCGTTTCTGGATTAAAATCTTCAACAGTTGGCTTCAGTCCTCATAGGCAGATGCCTTCATAGTGTAAGTTCTGAAACGTCCACGGCGATCGTTCTTCAAATTTACGTTTTCTGGGATGTGACACAGGTACTCCTGTGGGCGGTTACGGACGTTTCGAAAGAGCATGCCGTCTCAATCTTCAGGGTTGAATTGAGCTCCGGTTCCATATCCTCTCCCGCGGGTCTGATTGACGAACTTCGCTGCAAATTGTCAAGGAGCCACTTCGCCATACACACTTCAATCCTGAAGATGGAGGCAGCGTATTACTCCGCCTGCACTGCTACACGGCTTCGTAGCCCAGAAGATTAAAAGCCTTGGTAGTAGTCGATTTTTAAATAGGCTACTGCCACTTCTCAGTCTCTTAAAAATGGTAAAGGTATCCCTGTAACAGGCCATGGAGGCCTATAGGGATCTGAGACTTCGAGGCTCCAACAGCTTCTAGGCAGTCGGCTCACAGATTGTGGTGAGGTTGTCAGTCTTAGAAACCGGCCGCCATTTACCCTTGGAAGATTCCTTGTAGTCGTTTCTGTTAGAAGCCGAGTCGACCCCAGGGTCACAGTGGGGCTGGAAGGAGTAGGTCAATTGAAAAATCCAGTGAACTCATCTGGAATGGAACCCGTTGCCTTCCGGCTTGTAGCATAATGCCTCATCCAACTACGCTACCGCTTGCCCCTTAGTGTAAGGTTACAGAAAGCGAAATTCATCAATGAAAGTTACTCCAGCAGAGAACAATATAAGCATTGAAATAATTAGTCATATTATTGTAACAAGAAATCTGTGAAGAGATTTTATACATGCTTCGTCTACTGACTTAAAAGAAGTATTCCAGAAAGGTTAGCTGTTATGAACATACGAGTAAAAGAGTTTGCGATCTGATATATCTGCCCGTAACCCCTCCCCCTCGGAAATGAGTTTGTTTCAAATGAAACAGAATTGTTGGAGCCAACGCTGAATAAAATGACATTTGTTTACTGAACTCCAGCTTGGATCCTGTTTTTCTAATCCCTTTACGTTTTATTAGGCGGTGTTACCTCTATGATTAATTAATAGTTACACAACAACGGGCAAGCAGTTTTAGAGAAAACTGAAATTTTGCACTGAACTCTCTAAAGGGGTTTACCGTCACGTATCTGAACCTATCATCCATACAGGTCTATTTATGGACGTGGTCTTCATACATTACTGAGACGGTAATTTTGTGTGTAGGTGTACATTTGAAGGGCTCTTATTTTTATGTGTAACTTCCATCTTCACCGGGCTCCGACTTTTACTGGATAACGTCGTTAATAATGAACATGAATAAAATCCGTAAAACCGTTGAGACGCTAGCGAGGTGCATCATGCAAAACACACACACACACACAAACACACACATACAAACACAAACACACACAAACACATATACACACAGAAACACAAACACACTAACAGACAAAAACACACACAAAACTACACACACACACACACACACGCACGCACGCGTATTTTATCACGTGTGTGAGTGACAATAGACGGGGTCTGGATTGGAGATCGCATTTATTTGACCCTTACAGATCGTAACTACAGGCAACTGTAACGATATCGCTAAATTCCGCACGCAACAAATTACTACAGCATGCGATACGTCTTTCCAGTCTGCTGTGTCAGCAATAGCTGTTCCCTGGTTAGCGGCTTCTAGCAGCGGCTATTCTTCAACTGCACCAACTAAGACTCCTCTTGGCCGCACCGTAGCTCAACCGGTTAGTCGCTGGCTTCCCATCGCGGCGGCCCGGGATTTGTGGTGGACAAAGTGGCGCTGGCGCAGGTTTTCTCCGAGTACTTCGGTTTCCCCTGCCAATCTTCATTTCCACCAATTGCTCCACAATCACCCTCACCTATCATCTGGGGGCTGGTACAATAGGCCAGAAGTGGCCGCAGTACTTGGGACTTAGTCCCACCCCACTACCGATAAAAAAAAGACTTCTCTTCACAAAGTCAAAATCAAAATCAAAGTCACATTGCGGCTGACGGTTAGTCAGTCAGTATGTCTTGGTGTCAAGCCCCATCTGTGGCTGATGATCAGATATTTATTACTGTTTGACAGTTCCGGTCTGTTTTTGTATTGCGTCTTCTCTGACGAGAGGACGGGTCTGTCTTCTGTATATGGCGCTGGTCCTCGCCAGCGTATTCTCTCTCAGGTCTGAGTCACTTGGGCCTCGTGACCATATTTTACTGTCTGAGTGTTGAGACTTTCCTTTCATTGTCTCCTACGACTCTCAGGGTCACGGTGGAAGTATTCAACCCCACCTCCACACGGGTGTTCTCTTCACAGACTCCCTTACATCTAAGTAACTTTCAAACATGTCTCGGTTATAACATCTCTGCACGGATCGCACAGAAAATTCCCTTCATTATTGTACTCTAATCGTTTCGGTTGGAACATGTTTGTTTGCGAAAGCGTTACTCAGTAACGGTCGCATATATTTGCTTATTATTTATTAAGAATCTGTTGCCAGACAGCGGATGTTATCTGATTGTTCGTTTCGCAGTCTTTACCCAGTAACGGCTGTATACACAACTATGTGTATATATACAGACACAAAGACACCGTTCCAGAAACCACTTTGTCGTATTCAGGGCTGTGAAAATGTGTGTCAGAGTGTAGAGATTTGAAAATTATGATCACAATACTTTCCCGTTCTACTTACATGGTAATATAAAAATATCAATATTAATTTTATCATTGCCTCTGTGGTCTAGTGGTCAGAGTTCATGACTACAGATCCAGAGGTCCGGATTCGATTACCGACTCTAACAGATTTTCTGAGAAATAGAGGGTCTGGAACGGGGTCTACTCAGCCTCGTGAGGATAATTGAGCAGCTATTTCGAGGAAATAGCAGCTCCGGTCTAGGAAATCGAAATTAACGGCCGTGGGGATTCATTGCGTTTACAACGCGACACCCTCTGTCCCCTTAGGTTGGTACTAACTTCGTCGACAAGCGGCGGTCGCTCGGTTGTTATGGTTTGCTTGCGGATTCAAGCCACGGAGTTTGTTTTTGTTTGTTTATTTTAAAAAATAGTTTTTTTTTGGTTCCTGAAATGTCGTTATTTGGTCGTATTTAAAAAATATCTGCTTCGTGGCCGACAATCCACGCTGGACAGTTTCACTGCTGAATGAGTGTCCTACAAGATTGGAATATTACATATGCGAGTCACCTGCAACCTAGAACACAAGTTTGGAAATACCTTGTCTGTCCGTATATTGTGGAAAAGAAATTTCAACAACTGCTTAAATCCGTTTCTTCAGACTAATGAGAGTGACATTCTGTAAATTTGTGTTTAGGACTTGAAGCTTTCAGTCTAAATGTTACTAGCACACTCGTGAAAGTACTTTAAAGTACAAAATTACGCAGGAATAAGATGAGAAATGAAAATATTATTGAGATGTGTATGTCTTAAGATCATAATTATATGACCATATGACTCATTGATCAGCCAATCACAGTGTGCCGCGAAGTCGTAAGTCATGAACTGCCTTCGCCCGGTCAAACACCGGGATCGTGGGTTCGAATCCCACTTGATGCATGGATATCTGCGTGCATTTTCTCTGTATTTGTGTTATCCTGTGTGCAGGTAGAGACCTTGCAACGGGCTGATCTTTCGTCCAGGGGGTCCTACCGACTGTGTAAAAAGATGAAGAAACTGAAAAAGCGGCCAAGGTGCAACAAAGGGCTGCAGAGCCGTAGATTGATAGACAGACAGATGGATAGACAGTCAGATAACCCACTGAGCAAGAAGTGACGAGCTTTCGAGTACAATTTCAGTTTCTCCGAGTCTGCATAGTGCTAGGAACATGCCGAGTCAATTCGCCTCGAAGCAAATGTGAATGAAGAAATAAATACGTTTATTGCTGATGGAAAATTATATGTAAACAAGGTTGAATATAATAATGAAACAGAATGATTAATACAAGAATCACTGTCTCTGTTTCTCTCAGCAGGTGATAAGAATCCGACGCTGTTCGAACCTATGACCGAACTAGTTTCAAAGCCTTGATCATATATGTCAACTTGAAGTTGTTTTTCCTCTTTCTTTTCAAGAAAGACAGATAAATTTCAAGACACACATGACCAGGGCCCGGATTTTGATGACATGTCATCTTTTTTATCTTGTATCCTATGCGATGCTCTTAAATATATAAATCTCGGATATGAGCTGCTGGTTACAGAAATGTAAATTTTATACGTAACTTTTTGTCATTCTTTCACATTTTTAGGTTTAAGATCATTTTTTCATTTTTGGGGTATTTGTTTGGTAAATTTTTGAACTTTTAAGGGTATTTCTTGTAATTTTTGGCCATTTTAGGGAAATTTTCTTCATATGTTTTCTGAAATGTGAATAACATGGAAGCGAAGTGTTCTTACTTTTCTCCTTTAGGTCATTTTTCTGGATTTTTTCGGTCATTTTATAGGTCATTTTTTTAATATTTTCAGGTCATCAGAATCCGGGCCCTGCACATGACGAAGCTGGTTGCGTTTGTTTCGTTCTGTCGCCTTCGGAATGACTGGATCCTATTCACCTAGCGGAACCTCATAAACCAGAGGTAAACTTTCTCAGTACAGTCCTGCCTACTAATTTATAGAACACATAAGAAAAGTGTGGTTTCATTAACCAGTCTTCAGGAGTTTCGAAGAATAGTCATTTGTTATGAATTAGTTCTGCGGTATTTAAAAAAAGGTAGAGGTAAAGCTGTTCTTGTAACAGAACTTGGAGGCCCATAGGGTTGTGAGACGTCGAGGCTCCCACATTTCTAGACAACCGGTTCACAGATGGCGGTGAGGTTGTCAGCCTTACGCTCCAGCCGGCCGCTCTTTATCCCCAGGAAGATTCCTGGTACTCATTTCCGTTAAAGGCTGAGTCGACCCTAGAGCCATAGTGTGGCTGGAAGAATTAGGTAAATTGAAAAAGACAGTGGCCTGATCGGGATTCGAATCCGAATCCTTCCGGCTGTAGCATAGTGCCTCAACCAACTACGCCACCGCGTGCTCCCTCTGGTATATTTTAGACGTCAAAATATCTGATTACATTATTATATTATAGTTGGTAGCGTACGAAATCTTTCATGTATATTTTAACGTCATAATAATGTCAGTTCAATTAGTTCAAGCAGAATTACCTGTTCGACAGAATGAAAGGAAAATTTTTAACAACTAGAATGGTGCGGAGCCTTCTCTACAGATTACTAAGTTAAGTTCTGTAACTGTCATGGTCTTGCAAATACTGGAGTCGGAACAGATATGACGGCCTAAACCACGGTTGTTCCGTTTGGGGGCCTCGCGGTCAGCCAGTTGTCAGTGCGGCGAGAAAATGCTCCTTTTCCACCAATTACAATCTTAGTGCCTTCTTCTTATTATTATTTAAAAGGACAGTGAATATTGTCGGAAAATTTTACGAAAACTTCTTCATAAATATTCTGTGTAAATTTCAATTTATTTGACCCAATATCTAAGAAGTAATTTAGAAAAAGTATATCATTAATACACCTCCATGATATTTTGTAATATGGAAAACATCTGACAGATAATTAGTTTTGAATTTAAGCACTGCCGATGTGGCTTCTTGTATGTCTCCGTGTTTTTCATAAACATGATCATTGCAGGGTAGGTATTTGCAAGCGAACACAGTTTTCTGAGTTGAAATGCTGTGTAGTTCTGAGAGAACATATTTCTCTCTTAATGGTCACAGAGTACGTCTGCTTGTCCCGGTTTCTTTCTAGACTCATTTTGCAGTTTAGTCAACGTGAACATATGGCGTAACACTAGGAGGAGGAAATTTCTGTTAGATAATACATAGTTTATAAGCAGCTCATGATATGCATCGTGACTGGCTTGAAAAGTGACCGTAGAAACAATGAAATTCAAACTTCACTAAGGATTAGAAAGAAATTCATAAGTTATAGGGCCTATAGGTTATGCCTAAATATATAGATAAAAGGATCTACTTATTTCGGTTAAAGAGGAAAAAATAATAATTTAAATTTTCGAATATTAAAATTTGACATTTTTACATAAGTATTACCCATTCTGGACGTGCCAATTAACGTTAGAACTGAATTTATCTAACCCCGGGAATGACCACCAAATTCTTAGGATTTCAATGCCTTACACTTCCATGTTTAGAACAAACTCAAACACGTTAGTATAAAAAAAATAATCCGTGACGTTAGCGTAATGAAGGACTGACAACTCCTGGTTTCTCATATCACGAGACTATATCTGATCAAACATTGGCCAATATGAAGGTGAGATCAAATCGTAATCCAAGGAAACAACGGTACCTTTCATTATGGATTCCTATACGAAATATATTTGAATTGAAAATAAAGTAATATAATTGAAAGTTTCAAAAGGGAAACAAGTCTTTCTTCAGTTAAAGGAATCAATTAATTTAAACCTGTAAAGTCGTTGATATTACATTTCTGAAAGAAAATAACCTCTTAGTAGCCCGGTACATGTTTGGAGCCCGGAGAGTTGAATTGGGCTATGGGATGGGCCACTGACGAATCGGGGGTTGTTTCCCGGTGCAAGCAATATATTCATGTCATTCCCACAGCGTCTTGATCTGCTCTGAAGCCCGCACAGCCTTCGGTTCAAAAGGTACCAGGAGCTGCTTCCCCGAGAATAAAGCACCCAGGGCGTGACACTGGGCACTCACCCCCTGCATTAATATTAAAAATACATGTAGTCATAAATTGACTTTCCCGTAGGCCTTCATTAATTATGGGTTGATGCTTAATTGCAAAAACAAGGGAATAATTTTACTTTACTTTACTATACCTGATCCGCCACGTGTTTGATACCGCAAGCAGAAAAAATTATCTAAGAATTAGGGTACAAGGTTTAATCGAGCGGATTTAATAATCGGAGCTTTAACGCGGAAAATGAGAAATAAAATAATGCATAATTCAGGTAACATTTGAAAGATCAGTTAAATGTTTTACTTCCACTTGTGACCTCTTTACTGACTCTCCCTCGTATAACGCACATGATACTAGTGTCTGATTTATCAGAGAAGTTTTTTCTTTTACTTCAGCATCTTGTTGCAGTTGGCATTAGAATTTATTTTTAGTTTTGTTTACCGTCCCCATGTAACAGCGTCAGGATATAAGTTTAAATCTTGAAATAGTTGGATAATGGACGGCAAAGAAACACAAATATAAATTCATCAATGATAGTTACAGACGGCTAGAGAAATATGTATAAGTACTTAGTGGTTCTGATTAGTATGACTGGGAAAGTGAGGGTTTTACAAATGAAACCTGATCCACCAACATTCTGGAAGGAATAGAGCTGTTAAAAATTCTTACCGCCTGTGGTAACTTGCTCGGTTAAACATTGTTGTTACTTCTACCGAATATAAGGTATTACTTTCATGCATGTAGTCATGTTAGCTCTTGCGACTGGCCGCAGTAGTTTCCAGAGCGCCAGCGGGTATTTAACGAAACTTATATACAAGTAACTGTGGCTGATAAGTACGCGTTCAAGAATGTTTTTCTGTACCAATGACGAGTCAGTTAAGATGGATAACTAAGGGTGTTTGCAAAACAGCGACTCTAAAGTAGCTTGACACAAGATGTAATTACCTCACGTAAAAAATAACATTTTAAAAATCACTTCACGGTTGAATTAGGACATTAATACTGTAGTATGTAGACCCGTTGTTAGACAAGGACCACAGAACAAGCAACGAGACAATAGCCATTCCTCTGCAGCAGCCAGAGCTTCAATGGACTGGCTGAGAGCGGCGTTTTTTGCGGGGTCCACTCCGAAGGCTGCGCACTCAACAGTGGTTACAACAATGATGAGCGGAGTTTTCTACGCAGTCCGTGCCGAAGTGTTATAAGCGAGACAAAATTTATAGCTTAGTTAGAGTGGAAGACCAAGGAGCCAGTATTAGAGTGAGAGACTGGGCGTGTTCTGATGTATTATGAGGTCGAACATGTTACGTTGGCTATTGGGCAAATGCTGATTCGTCCATGTTTAGTCTTATGTTTCTTATGTGTTCTTTATATCTTGTTAGATTTCTACCAGTTTAGCCGATGTATACATTTTGGCAACTTTGGCATGTTATTTCCTATATCCCACTTTGTTCGTAGGGGTTTATTTCTCGTTTTTCATTTATTAGTTTACCTATTGTGTTGGCTGTTTTGAAGGCCGTCTTTATGTTAGTGTTTTCGAATAGTTTTGTGATTTTTCGTATGTAATTTCCAGTATAAGTAGAAGTGACCCATTTTGTTCTTTTTCGTCTTTATTATCCGGGTTACCCATCTTTCGCTTAAGTTTGTTATACAGATGTGTCATGTCTTCCTTTCTATAGCCATTATTTAGTGTTATATTAATAATAGTATTTAATTCTTTGTTTTTAGCATTTTCCTCAAGAGGTAGTGTAAGAGGTCTGTGTATCCAATTTTTATATGCTGGCAATTTTTGTTCTTTAGGGTGGCATGATTTATTATTTATTGTTATGTCTGTCGTTGTGGGTATTCTGTATATTTCCATTTCTGTTTGTCCGTGTCTATTAAATATATTTAAATCCAGGTAAGCTAAATTTTTCAAACTCTTTAAAAGTTTTAATACCGGGAAGGCTGCTGTGATTGTGAACAGTCGAATATTGTGTACATTGTGTATTCCAGGTATTATGTGTGTATGTAATTTAGCAATCAGAACACCTATTGTGATGGTGGTTTTTGAATAAGTATTGATGTTTCCTCTGAAGATGATCCGTAAGTGCGTGTGTGCCTCTCTCTCTCTCTCTCTCTCTCTCTCTCAAGTCTCAGTTCTGAGACAGTAATGTATGGTCGCGAGTCGAAGGGACTCGGACCCGAGAAAGACTGCGCTGGCAAGAGCCAGCAGCATATACAAAAGGCAGACCCGTCCTCTCGTCAGAGAAGGCGCCCCACAGAAACAAGACCGTAACTGTCAAACGATAATAATTAATATCTGGTCATGAGCCCCAAATGGGGCTCGACACTAAGACTGACTGACTGACCGTCAGTCGCAATGTAACTCTGACTGTGACTCTGACTTAGTTATGTTGTGGGTATTCGCCAGATGGTAAGGAAGCAAGCAGAGGAAACGACTAGTGAAGACATAGAATAATTTATTTGTGCTTTAGTGTGTAAATCAACGAGGCTGTTAAAGATACTTACAGTTACGAGTTTTGTGTACAAGTGTTCAATAAATCGGAGTCACTAGTACAAACCCCGTTTGTAGGCACTCATACACGTGACAGTCCGTCCTTACATGACGAATATTTGATTTGGAAAAATTTTTAGACTTACATGCCTGTGCCGAGAGAAATAGGCGACGAAAAAATAAGATGAGAGCAAAGAAAGATAAAAGATAAGAAATATGATATGATGCTACTTGTTCTGAGCCTCATCATACTGTAGGGAAGTTCAGAGAAGTGGTGGAATGATGATTATCAGGTGAAAACTGAATAAGCTCGTACGATAAGCTGCTCCAGTGCTACTACCACCACTACATACGTCACGTTGGATCACCAGGATAGAATCGAGTCCTTGGAAGTGAGAACCAAGCTTCC